GATTTCCGAGGACTTAATCACTCCTATTGATGACGAAAATTAAATTGAATTGATATATTTTCATATAAATTACTTATACTTATGTTTCAAAATGTACTAATTATTTTTGTATTTTATGAATATTAAAATAAAAAATACTTAAATCAAACCTTTATATTAAATATGTTCATGGTATAAATTATTATTATATATGTAATTTATTCAACAATTTTAGTAAATCACTGTCCTTTCAAAACATCACTTCAGTAAAATACGTCTAAACTATTTATTTTGAAAGTGGCTTAAGTCACTTTACCGTAATGAAAAGTGGTGATTTTTTAATGTTTATACGAAATTATTTATACTGAGAAATATATCGGTATCCTGAGATAACAAATGCAAGTAAATCTTCTCGAAAGTTAGCATCCATATTTTGAAACGTGTTAAAACGCAAACCCTTAAATATATCGACTTCAAAACAAAGTGACTCTTATGCCACTTTCAAAATAAACGGCTCATTTATTACGGGGCACACTGTTGATTTCCATTCGATGGAAATTTCGCGACAGTTCGATTTCCATTCGACGATTAGCGCGTAAGAATCAGTGCACAACTTGCCTCCGATGCCAGCGGTTTCGACTTTCTCGAGAACATCCTTGTCCAGATGCCATTTTGACGAACAAGCGTGTTCCCGGGGGTCAGTATCTTTAGGGTCATTCGGCGGATGGCTTATCGACGGGCTCTAATCAATCAAATCTTCGGTGCGAGTCATGGCTGTGTCTGGAAATGTGTACAATTGTAATTTCAACGCTTTTCGTAATGTTCACGGTTCTTTCTAGAAAAATACTTTTAAGCTGTATGCATGATGGACGCAGAGGGAATGCTTTAATATGATGGAGGAAATGAAGTCCCATACAAATTATGGTAATGATGTTATAATGGTGGAATATTATGCGGTAGACGCTCGAACCGCGATTGTTCGATTCGCTCGGTCCACAGGTCCCTCGCGGCGGTTTTTAAACTCCCTTTCTAAAATAAACCGGCGGAGAGTGCTGCACAAAATGCCAAGGTTAACGAGCTTCAATTCGACCGGGTAACGGAAAATCATTTAAGCAGGTACTGTCGCGCTCGCGGACCATGAAAAGACTGTGTGAATTGTAGTTGATTGTATTCACACAGATCTGCATCGAGCGGCTGATTAGCTACTTCATCATCGGGAATTAGTGAACCATTTTATTTCTCTGCTCAACCTTTGCCGCATAACTTTTAGTACAAATTATTTGCTCTGCGGGTTACTTTATCGATCTACAAAATTCTGTTTTCCTCAAGATGATCGATTCTTGTAAAAAGTAATTTTTAAAGGAGTGAAATAATATTAATTATTAATTTTTACTTTCAGACAAACATTTAAGACGAACGATATTCTGAAATTAATGAGATGAATTAGTTTAATTATCTTTTGTAATTCGTAACGATGAAATAATTGCTATTTTCATTTCTCATGGTCACAAATATTTCTTGTTTTATCCGATCTGTTTAGGACATTTTTGAATACCAAACGGTAATATATAATTATTGTTTTCGTGACTTGAAAAAATACCTATGACTATATTAATCATATCGTTCAGCTTTGATAATTCATAAATAAGTGAGAATTTACTTGAAATGATTTTTTGATGATCATATATGGCTCTTGCTTTATCAAATTTGTTTATCAATTTTAAAAATCCTGACATTAATATAATTATTGTGAGTGTTTTCGTCACTTAAAATAATACCCCAAAATTATACAAATTATACTATTCATCTCTCTTTGTCGAGATACAATATCAAACTCTCCAAAGACTTCCACTATAAACTTAACCGGAAGTCATCCAGTTGTAGCAAAACGTTCTCTGCTTCCACGGCTTTTTATATCGATCTATTGTTATCATTACATGTTAATTATTTAAGTATTTTAATATTTTAAGTATTGCATCAACGACGGAATAGTTTGACGCGCGTGATTTACCCGAGAAATTAAAATCGATAAAAGTTGTTCATTATGTCCTCTCCTCCATACTAATGTAGTACTCCGGCACTCTGTCGGTGCCACGGAGACTGCGCTGTTACTCACTTTCCGTCACATGCGCAGATCACTTGGCTCCCGACGAATTTCACGCGATACGACCGTCCAATGTCGATTCTTCGTTAAAACGTGCTTACCCGTCGCACGTGCTTCCGTTCGAGACACTTTACGTAGCTCTGATTCGATTTGTGGTTACCATTCGAACGAAGAATACACATTTATCGGTCACACGTATTACGAAACTCGCGTGATCGAGAGGTTAACGATACCACTGGGTCACGACATGCCAGACACGTTTTGGCGCTACCGTCGAATCCGCTCGTCTTCCGGAGCGGTCTTTTTAAATTCTTCTCTAACTGTTCATCTTTTAATAAATACGATTATTTAAATACTATGAAATATAAATATAAATATAATATAAAATATAATATGATATACTATGTAGATATAATATATAAATATACTATATAAATATACTATAAATATAATATAAAAAATATAATATGATATACTATATAGATATAATATACAAATATACTATATAAATATACTATAAATATAATATAAAATATTATTAAATACTATAAAATACGATTGAAATGTCAGATCGCCTTAAATATATTTTGTACACAACATGGAAACTCGCTTACAGCATGTTTCGATGATTCGTATTTTAATTTTACATGATAGATTGATTTTCGAAAAGCAAGTACCATTTTTGCGACAAATGCAGACGTGCAAGGCTATACAATGGTAATTATAATGGCAATATAATTTTAAACAATGACTAAATTAAAATAGTTCCTCTTTCTTCTTCCGAACCAGTTATTTCATATTTATTGAATCAAATGTATACCCTGTAAAATTCGTAAAAGAAGCAATGTTAAAACAGAAGCAGGTAAATTCAAGTGAACGCGTTCGTTTTCAGAATTTTTCTGAAATGTTTTACGGTTTAATATCGATTTTTCTAACGAATAATTAGTAATTTATTTTTGTTTGAAATTTTATACATATACTAGCACTGAAATGAGATATTATTTTATTACATTTGATCCGCGTCAATTGTGAGTGACTTCAACATTAATTGGCAAAACAATCGAATTACCTTGCATTTAATCTCGCCTACCGTTTTCTATGTTTCCTTTCGCATGTTTGCTATTCTAATACTTTCTCGCTTACGCTCGTGCTATTGTTATCATACTAACTGACCGATAGATATTATCACTGTCCACGCTTCCTCCGTGATATTGGGTCAGAGCACGTGTCAATCCAGGGACCCGTTAAATCTGACGATATAACGGAATCGATATCGCATTTCTGATACCACACGTTTGATTTAGCGTTGTTCTCAGTTATTCGTTTATGGCAACGAAGCAGCTATTGTGTTTGCTATGAATCTGCACATATCATGCATCAACGTGAACGGAGAACGCGAAATTCGTCGGAAACTCTGAAACTAACTCCAAAGTTGTTTAAATGATATTTAATTCTTTAAAAGCAACGTTATTTTATATCTTTAAAAAAGGAATGAAATGTAATATTTCGACTAACTATATTGTCAATACTAACTATTATAAATACTATATATACTATAATATAAATATATAAATATAATATAAATATTATATATACTATATAAATACTAACCATTATATTGTCAATACTAATTATATTAATTATATTACATAAAATTGTAAATGTATTTTACGTGTATATAAATAATAGATCGTGCTGTTGTAACCGCAAAAGAGAAAAAGACAAAATCCTTGTACTATTTCGGCTGACAAATCGTGGTTTTTGATGATGATAACTTTGACGCGCTAGGCGTAGAAAATAACAAAGGATTATGAGAGCTGGTATAATGTGCCGTTGCCAGTGGTTATGGAGACAGTGTCTAATTTAGACGGGCCATTTCGTGTTGTACTTACAAGTAGTTACGAACATTCTTTCCTGCAAAAATTAGCAAAATACAATATTATATACAAAAATAAAAAAAATACTTAAGTAGAACACTTATAATATAATACTTATTTATACATATAATTATATTACTTTATAATATATACATATTAATTATAATATTTAAGTAGTATTCCTTGTATTTATTACGCACTTACACGTGCTGTCACACAGATTTCTACCATTGATTACTCACAATCATTTTTCATCCGTTTCTAACATCAAATTTTGAGCTTATATTTCATGAGAAAAGCTATTCAAATATTTCCTTATTTTCAATTTATAAAATGGATAAATTAGCGTCGATATTGCATAATACGTAATTAATACTTCTCGAAAATATCATGCTAATTTTACTCTCTTTTGTATTCTTTATGATTTTACTCTTCTTTTTCTAAACTACGCTGCTTTGGAACAATTAAACTGAAATTACTTAAGAAACTGTACGATATGTTAAAATATACTTTAACCATCTTTTAATTTTCTGTTTCAGGTAAGTTCAATCAAGTTCTCGCATATCTCGGCGTAAGTATAACGATCCTTCTTCGATCCTCGCGCGAAACTGATCTGTAGACCGCGGCTTTAATTTTCTTTTTTGTTACTCCAGTAGTCTTTGCAATTTGTCCGTTGGGGATATTTGGTAAATTGAATTATTGTTGCTCGGCGGTATGTCATGTAGATGCTGTTCTCGGTAGAAAGCGTCGGAGAAGACATCGTGTCATCGTAGGAGGCCTTCGGAGCGCTCTCTCTCTCTCTCTCTCTCTCTCTCTCTCTCTCTCTCCCTGCAGCCTTCCAGCAGAGTTGGGCAAAATATAATCGGAAAAAGTGACTAATGATCATGATTACAATCATTTCTATAATTATGACTAATGATTACAGAATATTGTTCGGTAGTCATTCGTGGGACATGATTATAGTAGCTACATTGGTCATTAGTCATTCGTAAAAATCTGGCTATATTAATTATTAGTTATTAGTTGGAAAGCATGACTGTTAGTTATTAGTTTATTTATCCAATTTTAAAAAAGGAAGTTGATCTTGAAATTTCGAAAATTACACTGTGCACAAAATAAAGTGGACACGACATCGCTTCCCTACTCTTAAAGCTTTACAACTTTACTGTATTAAACATTTTTTAATTAGATACATAATTTTAGAGTTATTTGGGGAGTGCAAGTTACACGACTCACCCTGTGATTCAAAATATATCGCGCTTGGTCCCATTTCAATCAGAAAAATCTTACCATTATATTAGATAAACTCGTATGCAAAAAACTAAATATAAAAAAAAAATTGAACCGTCGTTCTTTTTATATCGTCGTTATGTAAATATTGGTTCATTTTTATGTACGAGATTATTATACGTATATATCGTAGAGTTAGTAAAAGGAGTAATATGTGTTCAATAAAAACGGTAAAATCGTTTTATAGGAATATAAAGATTCCCGAGGAAATACCAGCAAAAAATTATTTTCAATATTGCAAAACTAATCGGTAATCGTAAACATCGTCCGTTTATACTCACCGACGAGCCGAGCACGTTGAATTTCGTTATACCGACATTGATTTTCATGTTCAGAAATAATAGTAAAACACTATCAATCTGCTCGGCTCGTGCTCGGCTCGTGCTCGGCTAGTCGGTGAGTATAAATGGATCTTAAAATGCAATTGTGACTGACGAAGGTAGTTTTGTCGAACACGACTAACGAAAGCAGTTACGTCCGAGGGAATGATTTCTGATTAACGACTAATTTAATCGGATTAACGTTAGTCGTATTTTTAGTCAAATTGCGCATTTGATGCATTTATGGTAAAAATCAGTGTCCGAAATAGAACATTGCAAAGACCTAAGAAGAATTTAATCGTTTTATTACGCTACTTTCAGCTTATTAAAATGATTAAAAGAAACGATTTATTTTTACTTAATTTCGCTGTTTTACAATCGGCTTTGAAAATTTCTATTTTGCATAAAGTCCAAATGTGTCGTTGTTTCACTGTCGTTTAATTTCTTCTGGTACTAACGTACCATTCAGTGTTTGTAATTGTTCTAAGGATTTTTCATTGCGTTGTTTCTAGTTTTAACCCTTTGCACTCGAAGCGATTTTAACTGTGAATATAAAATCATTTTTCTAACTTGTAGTATTTTTATTTTATATGATGAAACGCATTTTATGCATATGAAATTGACTCTTGGGACTCACGCAACAGTTCCACTCTTAACAATGTTAACATCAAAATTATCTTAAAACGTGATGTAACGAATTTTAGCGGTGCCTCTGAGCAACCACTTGAGTGCAAAGGGTTAATATGTAATCAGCATTTAGAAGAAGTTAATTGTAAGTCGATAGATTATGAACAAGCCGTTTATACTTTATGATCTTTATTCGAGTCGATTATTTTCCGCATCAATTCTTATTCGAATGATTTGTTTATCCGAATCAAATCTTATTCGCAGGAATGTTAATCTAGATAAATTTTCATTCGACAGCGCCGACTAAGCTTGTATTCCGTGGTATCTATCTCTTACATATTGTTGCGAATTACTCCATTTCTCTCGCGTCGCGGCATTTTATATTTACAATAAAGAGTATTAACTATAACACAACTCGATACAATTATATCATAGATCTTTCAATTTGAAATGTTGCTCGTTCGACGGTCCGATCTCGACTCTTCGATTGTCCGTTGGTAACACTCTTCCGTGGCAACCCCTATCTTCTATTATTCTTTAACCCTTTCGCTACGGGCGGATTCTCCGTCGCGGTACTTCTGCTGAACAGAGCGCTGCGACATCACTGCACGCTACGCGACGGCGATCGTCAGCGGAAGTCGGTACTCCGCGGCGGTCGGCGGAGAACCTAAGCTGTTTGAATTGAATGAATTTTTCGAACGAAAAAATTTTTCTCCAAAGGGTATTTATAAATAAAGGGCATTCCAGGGTATTTTATAACGTCTTAGCATGCGCTCTTTAATTTACAGTATGAGAGGAAATAAAACATTATGCAATATAATGCATCTTATGGAAAGCCACTATAGTGGTCCGTAGTACCTCAGTGGCACCATATGGAAAGCCACTATAGTGGTCCGTAGTACCTCAGTGGCACCATATGGAAAGCCACTATAGTGGTCCGTAGTACCTCAGTGGCACCATATGGAAAGCCACTATAGTGGTCCGTAGTACCTCAGTGGCACCATATGGAAAGCCACTATAGTGGTCCGTAGTACCTCAGTGGCACCATATGGAAAGCCACTATAGTGGTCCGTAGTACCTCAGTGGCACCATATGGAAAGCCACTATAGTGGTCCGTAGTACCTCAGTGGCACCATATGGAAAGCC